GAAAAGTGGAAATAATATGATTTATTATGAATTAATGGACAGTATTGATAAATAAGGATAAGGGAAAAAATTCATATCTGAGAGATAAAGTATGCTCCATTTTAAAACTAAAAAATAAAGTTTAAAACTTAAAAATCAGATATTAATTAAATATTATTTAAAAAATAATTAATTAATTAAATATATTAAGGTAACACATTTATACAACTTTGTAACAAATTATTGAATTAGTTAGTTAAAAAATTACAGGTCACAGATTAATTTTTAGTCACAAATTGTCGAATTTTGAGGTCACAGTTAGTCCATTATACGATCACAGCTAGTCTAATCCCACCGTCAACACTTGCGACCACTGCATTGGTCACTTGCGACGTCGCCCATCGCACCACCGTCGACATCACCACCAATACAACACCCACAACGTTACAGTAGCACACCACCGCCACCTTCATCACACCGCCACCATCAACCCCATCTTACCATTGCGGTGCCACTAGATCTGGCCAAACCACCGCCACACCCGCAGCATCACAAAACTCACCCAACCACCGTACCACCGCCACATCGATAGTTAGCTACTCGAAACCGCCAACACCCCACAACCGCTATCACCTCACTGTTGTCGCGACGTCCACCATCGTCATCAGCACCACAACCACAAACACCGTTTCCAACAAAAAACTCTACCATCGCCACAACAACAGAGCAATAGCCGAAAAGAACAAAAAAATCCGACCATGTCAAAAGAACCCACCTTCCTAGGCAGAGATCTTGGCAACGGAAGATCTCCTCTTTCGACGGCATGACAGAGCTCGAGTTGGCTGTTGGCAGTGGCGTCGGTCCTCGCCTTGCAGGGTCGATGTTGATCTCTTGCAACTGCCTCGATCTCGCAGTCGACGACGCTCTCTTACAGCGGCGCCTATCCTCTTCCCACAAATCGAAGTTGGATCGAAGGAGATGGGAAATCGAAGGAAGGAAGAGGTGGGTGTGGAGGATAAATTAATTTAATTAATAATATATTTATCTAATAATAATATATTACTTAATAAAATTTGGATCTGATTTTGGATGTTGGATCTTGAAACATAAAGTTGGGTGTAATTTCCACATTTATATATTACAGAGGTTCATGATATACTTGTGCTGACTTGGTGGGTTGTCCTAGGTAGAAGAAAACTCAGGCTGGCCCAGTGAGTCAATTGCACCCCGCAATACTCCCATTCCAATCCAACTTTCCATGCTTTTTCTTTTACAATTTCAAAGCCCAATTAAAAATTATAAGTACTTATAATGAATCTCAAAGAATATGTGGTTAAAAGTAAATAAAAATAGTGAATTCTATAAAATACGTAGAGTTTGATCATTTTATAAGTGATTATAAGCTTTTCCAAACATGATACTAAAGATGTTTCTTTTTTTAGTTATGCCACAGTTCGGTTTAAATAAAAAAATTGATATAAATTTAAGTCAAAGTCAATAATTAATTTTAACCAGAAATTTTATGAGACCCACAACTTTATGGTTTATC